CCAGCTGACGATGATAGCTTGGGGAAAGAAACAAGGGCAGATAGTAAGGGAGCAACTGATCACACAGATAGTGTCAAAGCTCAGTATTTGATACCCAGATATTAGCCTATGATGCCAGAAGTGTGTGGTGTATGTGTATATGTGTGTATGGTGGTCCCTGGAAAGGGACAATGCATGCCACCAAAAACTCAGAAGAAGGTTTTAGGTAACACCTGTCCACAAAAGTTATTCTGAAACTTGAAATTAGGGTATTAGAGAGTGACACTGTTCTGCACAAACACAAACAAAATTATAAAACTAGATCATAGGAAGGATGTCTCATAAGGCAAAGAAGAGGAGCCTCTTCAGTTGACAGGAAAAATCTGGTGTAGATGGTTGCATTCTAGTGTCTCATGAGATGCTAGTGAGTATTTTTTAAAGACTAAATTAGGTTTGAGGAATCTTGGTACTAGCTCCTACTCTTTGAATGTGCACACTGCACATTAGCATAGTAAAGACTTTGAGAAATTCCATAAGGAAGTAATTTACCTGTGTTTAACTCAGAGTTTGCTATGGTTGTTAGTCCACCTAAATACTTAGGTGTCATTTGCCCTACTGAACAACAACTGTGGGACACTAATGCTCCAACAGACCCATGTAGAAAACCTGGATTTATAACAAAGCACAAAATATTGATAGCAAAACAAATCAACAACAATCACATCACAAAACTGAAATAAACTATGGATATAAAACAAACATGAAAAAAAAATGACAGGTAGAGATAAATAGTACCTAATAGAGAAGGCAAGATTTTGGAGTGTGGAAAGCAGGATTGGGCTCTAACAACAAAAAAGGAGTGTTTTGGGCAAAAGAAACAAGTTCAACGTAATGGTCTCAAGTAGCACTTCATATGAGGAAGGCAAATGAAAGTTCCTAAAGTCGGAATGGAATTATGACGATAAAAGGAGAGGCAGATGCAAGAGGTGTGTTTATGGGAGCCCATAACAACAGCCCATCAGAAAGGTTCGACATGGTGGTAAATGGGATGTAATTCCCTGGGAAAGCCTCTGGATAAAATCAGAAGCTATGAAGAATGGACACCTTGCTTTGCTGATAATTTTAATCTCTCAATAAACTGGAGAAGCAGCGAGAAAGGGGATTTAGTGTCAGTTTAATTTTAACAAATATAGGAAGAGTGCTTGGTCATTTAGAAATATCAGAAACTTTGGGAGAAAGCCAAGTGCTCATAAAATCCAGCCTCTCCATAATCCTGTCAGAGATATTTTACAGGGGATTTCTGGGAAGGAATGTTACACTAAATAATCTTTAAGTCCCTTTTTTGAAACATTAAAGACTGCCTCTAACATTCTACAGTCACACTGAAGAACTCCAGAGGTGGCCAGCAGGAACAATGAGGGAGAAACAGCTTTCCAGAGCTCCGCGGCTATGCTGAAAAGAAACAAAGAGTACCACACAACAGGTACAGCACCGAGCAGAACCTGCTCCCTATAAACACATTATAGAACTGTCATAAATGAAACAATGAGGTGCTGGGATTAAAAATAGAAAGATCAGCAATACAGAATAGATATGCCAGAAACAGGCAAACATATACCTAAGAATTTAATTTCTGATGAAAGACAGGAAAGCCAATGGAAGCATGGAAACTCAAAAACATAGCCAACTCTGGAGCAGGTAAATCATTATGTATTTAGAAATGGAATGAAGAACTTATATGGGAAAAATTAAACAATTTTTTTTTTTAAAAAATATCAACATTAAAAGGCAAAATACAGACCAGATAATTTGAAGAAATATTAAGTCAAAGGATTAAAATGAGTAACACATAACCAATTTAAAAAATTACCAAGAACTCTATCTGATAAATGGACACAGTATGAGAAAAATCTATTTATAAAGAGGAAAAATCAACAGTAAATAAAGGGTTAAGAAGGCATATTAGCTTTCTCTCACTGTGATAAAATCAACTTAAAGGGAGGGAAAATGGGCTGTGGTTTCAGAGGTTTCAATTCATGGTCACTTGGCCCCATGTTTTTGGATGCATGGCAAGGCAGAACCATCATGGTGGGAGCCTGTGGTGGACCAAAGTTACTCACTTCATGGAAGCTAAGAAGTGAAAAGAGAGGAAGGGGCAGGGGTCTCAATATCCCCTCCAGGGAATACCCCTAATGACTTAACTTCCTCCCCTCAGGTCCCAACTCCTACAGGTTCTACCACTCCCAATAGTGCTAGAGGCTGTCAATCAAGCCTTTAGTATATGGGCCTTTGGGGGATACTTAAGATCTAAATCACAAAAAAATGAAAGTGCATGATTTGCATCCTAAAATAACTCAAGGTAAAATGGTAGGATCAAATTAGTGAATTCTAAATACATCTGCATATTTGAAAAATTTGTTGCCCAGTACATAAAAATAATCTTTAAAATGTTCACTTCTTTTGACCTACTAGTTCTACATGTGGGAATTTATATGAGGAAATAATTCTAAATGCCGAAAAGTACTATGTTTAAAAATATCCACTGTAATATTATTAGTTTAAAAAAAAACAAGGAAGACAGAGCCAATATTTAGTGAATACTTACTATATACAGATATAAGTTGCTTTTAACAAGTTATCACATTTAAGTCTCACAATGATTCTATAAAGTAGACAGGACCACCATATTACATGAAAGGTAAAATACATTCACATGCTCAGAGAGAGTAAATTCCATAAAGACACTTGGCTAGTAAAAGTGGAAAAATGGAAACATTTAGAATGGTTAAGCAACATGAAGATGATTTATTTGATGAATTATTTACATTTTAATATAAAAGCATGAAGTAGGAAAACAATTTGAGACGTTAACAAAGTGCATAAAATAAAATCTTGTATTCAATGTGATTGAAATATTTTCAAAGAAAAAAGACAGGAACAAAATACATGGACAATAACCATACACAAAAGAAAACCTTTTCACTCTTATTGGCCTGAGGTCAGGTCAATAAAAGCAGCTGGCTGGTAACCCTGAGAACAAAGCAAAGTATCATTGCATTGTGAGACTGCAGAAAGGAGGAAGAGAATCCCAGAAAGACCCTGGAAGGCTCAAAACCTGTTTCAGCAGTTTGGCTAATACAGGAGATGGAGAACGTAATTCAGGGCAGATACGGTAAATCTTCTATAACGAGTAGGGCTATAATTCCTTTCATGGTTAAGTTGCTGGGAAAATCATAAATTGGCCATGGTTAAAATGCCACAAGACTCAAAATCATATGAAAAATAATGAATAATTGAGATTTTGGTTTCCTCTAGAAGTCACACAACATTTACTGAGAAAAGTGAGAGGTGAGACAAGAATAAAGTAATTTCTGCTATGTGAAATCTCAGTGAGGCAGGTGGGAAAACGTGGGTGGAAGATTACCAATCTTATTCTCCTGTTATCAGAAGAAATGTCTAGATCAGCTTTTGAGGAAAGGGCCCTGTATAAACACATGTGCAACCCACAGACAATGTCATTTATGTATGCGCACCCTGATCCCTGCCACAGAGAGCTCTTCAAGTGTAGGGATTTCATAGTATCTCCAGGAATTTTATAAATATCCTAAGTATAATGTTTTATAATTCAATCTTCATCTTTCCTTTTCTCTGTTATTTTTCCATGTCTTATCTATCCTTATGTTCTTTCTTATTATATTAAAAAAACTATATATATTTAGATACATATGTGTACATGTATACATGGGTATATATGAATATACACATACATTCATGTATGTATACATTGTATATATGCACACCTATAATTTAACATTGCTAATTCAGACATTTATTCATACACACTTTCTTTTTTTTTTTTTAAAAGAAAGAAGAAAAAGAAATCAAATGCTTAGTCAATTTAGCACACAAAGTCCATGTTTGTGGGCCTGACTCAGCATTCACACAGCAACTGTTTCCTAAGTAGTACACACTGAAGGGTTCATCTGCTATTACAACAAAGATCTTAGCATAATAACTGACCATCCCCTTTCCATGGCACAGCCTGTGAGGGTGTGGACCATACCTGTTTTGTTTACTGCGGAACCCCTGTGCCAGGGCAGGGCCTGCCTTAGTGAGTGTGTGTTGAGTGAGAAAGTGAGTGAGGCAGGAACATGCAAATCCAATGTGTCTCTCCTCCAGAGACAGCCCATGAAGAATGCCTGAAGACATTTCCCTAAGAGTCCAAGTGACTGATCTGGAAATTACTACATGACTCATCTGTACAACCATTTAACACCTGATTCTACACATGATTTTTTTAAACTCTTGTTGTTCATTACTTTTTTTCCCCAAATTTAGGGAGCTATGCTTTTCAAAAACATTTATAAATGTATATGTTTACTCTATTTCCCAAAGAATTTTTTTACAAATCCCATATAAAATCCTCCACAAACGTGTTGAATTAAATAATAAAATCTTAAACGACCTTTGACATGGTGACATTTCTAAACACATTATCTATCAAATTCATCGACTTACTATTCAAAAGTGTTGTAGACCAAAAAATGTAGACTTGGGGTTAGTTAAGCTGAGTTTCTAGCTCTGACACTTCAATGCTTTATTTTCCTACCTGTGAAATGGGAACACTGACAGAAGCAACAACAAAAATACATATCTACCTACTTCAGAGGGAAGACTGCAACCAAAGGGATGATGTACATAAATAAATTTTGCAAATCAGAGATCAAGCATTAGCCATTCTATATACAAATTTGAAAAATGCAATTGATGCTGTGAGACAACAGAGCTGAGACACTGCATGTAGCAGTAACAGTGCAGGTGACTGCTGCTTCGGAGAATGGCTATCAGGCATAAGAACAAGGCGACAAGGAAAAGAATCTCTAACACAATCCAACAGACACGCCCCCACTCATATATCAAAGACCATGTTCAACACCCGCCGTGGGGAGAGATTACGGGCACCTGTCACCCAAACCCTTTGGCAATACTGCAAGCATCTTCGAAACCAGGCGAAAGCTTACCAGATACAAGCTGCTGTCCAGGCAACCCCACGGGAACCATGCCCAAGTTGTTCATAGCTGTGGCCCAGGCTGTGGGATCTGTCACGGACATGTTGAGCTGCGTCGTGTCTATTGCTATGCTCCCCAAACCATCAGCTGCTGTGGGAAAAATAAACTCTGGCTTAGAGTCAACATACAAGGGTCTTCACTTTAAAGAAAATCACAGTTCTAAACATATGAGGCTTCATTTAGCACATTTTCACCCCCCCCACACACACACAGAGACACAAAAGTAATGATAATATTAAAGCACTATAATCTACAACAATGTTTTCTGCAGACACAAAGAGTTCCCAAATACTTTCTGGGAGGAAATTTAATGACATGTAGTTTGCGTTATACTCAGCATGCCATTAAGGAGGCAGATACCCTTGGAAAAAAGCAAAGAAGTGTTTCCTCCTCCCAGTGAAACATTAGACAAGTTCAAGGTCAAGAAGCAGAGCAGCAGTACTCTATTGGTAAAGCAAGTCAACTAGCTTAGTAAACTGAGGATAAATAAATGTATCTGTTTCCAAGTATAATTCTGGACCAGGTACTCTTAACTGTGCAACAGAAGAGCAGATGCCAATCAGTAGGACTGGTCCTGATTGAATTTTTAAGTGTTACCTAGAAACACATTTTCTCCTTTTCACACTTCTATTACATTAAGGAAATTAAGGAATCATTATGTTAAGCAAATGCAGATGTCTACCTAAAGTGACTTTTCCAAAGTATTCCCTATAAACACTGATTTTATAAAATAAATAAAAAAATAAAACACAAAGAGTACAGAGGTTTTTAAAAAAATGTGTTAAATTTGACTTCATGCTCTTTGATTTTCCCGAGTTTCATGGTCTGATTTTTTTCAGAGCCTCAGCTCCTGGTTTAATTCCTATTTTCTTGGCCAAGCAAGCTTTTCCAGTGAGAACTCAAAATGTCTTGTTTGCATCCTGTGGCTTTACCTGCAGCCATCATCTGGGGAAGCTCCTGAGGACACTGAGTGATGCTCTCAATTCCACCTGCATCTACCATTGAATTACAAGCATCCTGGGAGGCAGGAGCACTTTGACAGCTGAGTTGGGGGTCCTCTTGGAGATCATCAGATTCTGCAAAAGGGGAGAGGAGTGTGGCGAGAAACCATAATAGTTAACTGAGTGAGAACTTCACAGGACCAACTGTTGTGTATTCAAAACAAATAACAAAGAACAATTTCCAGATAGGCATAGAAGTACAGCTGCTTCCTGTTGGTTCCTCAGCAGCTTGTCTTGTGGCTCAGTTTCTGGGAGCTTGGTGAGATATGTGGGTCAACTCATCAACTCACCTAGCACCAGGCTGGCTTAATAAACAGCATGGTCTGTGTGTATGTCAATGCTCCGCCTCGAATGAAGAGCCTTCACAAATGGGGCTTATCAGCCCCTGTGCAGCCTCTTCCACACACTGCACATCAATGGAGAGGGCAGACTCAGGGCAAAATATGATTTTTTTAAGTTAAAAAATTAATTGATGTTGTTATTTTGGGAGACAGTCGTCTGTGAAATATATTCAGAGAGCAAAGAATGTCAGGAGGAAGAAAAAAGCAAGAACCCTTTTGCTGTGAGGCTGGAAAAGGAGGGTGCCTAAATTACAAAAGTCAGGAAAAGCAAGAGGGGAGAAGAGCAAGCTGTCCATAAGGAAATCTGAAGAGGGCTGGAGCAGCAAGAAAAAAAAAAATTTTAAAGCTCTGTAGAATGGTAAACTTCACAGGTCAAAATTTGTTTGGTCTGGATTTTCCTTAGAATTGCACAGTTTAAATATGTTTTTTTATTATATTCTCACAGCATTGCTCTACCAGATATAAATAACAATAAAACATTAAATATAGTTACAAAGGTTCCCTTTTTATTACGCTGTTTATAAAATTCTATGCCTTCTCTCTTAAAAATGCAAGAACCCATAGCATGCATAACTCTACAGGTTAAGTATTCTTTCACCTGTTCTCAATCTAGATGAGCAACCTGATGAGTTCGATTTTTAGCTGGCTTGATACAGCACATGAGTTTAAGTGTTAATTCTCATTTGGATGTCAAATTATAAATTTTTTTAAACCAGGTTTGTGGTAGTGATAATTTTAGAATTAAATGTCCTAGTGTGTCAGTATATCTCACGTGAAGTTTGATCTTTTCAGGGTATGTTCTCTTATTCCTTAATTCTTAGGTGCAAGAATTAAGTCCCTTGAGTACTGTAATGTCAAAAAGAGCTTCTTGCTAGTTGAACAGAAGTTTAATTCAAATGGAAGTCCAGGTTTCAATATCTTCAGGATAGGTGGATAATGAACAAATGGTTTCTATGGTCTCAAAAAATCTCTAGCTTTCAACTAAAGGGGCCTGTGAAATAGGATTTTTTTCCCCCAAATTTCTATCTAAACAGCAGTGAGTGATTGTATCTTTGGGAGTACACGACACTCAGGATACGTAAATGTCCTTGCCATTACCCAAATGAGTTCAGAATATACTCCTATATGGTGCATCAAGTATCTGAGGCAATGAGTGCCATCAGATAGAGAGATTCTCATTACATAAAATAAACTTAATGGTGTTAAGAAATACTTAGGTAACTTCAATGTCTGCCCTATAGTTGTTCATCCACTATAATATTTCTATCATGAAACCTCAAAACACTTCTCTTTCTCCACTTTCAACCATTTTAGGGCACCAAGACAGAGCCAGGCTAGAATGTGCTCATTCTTCTCAGGAATGGCCCTGCAGTAGAGCTGTCTCAGATCACTGCAAGGTCATTATTTGTCTTACTTATCTCCCCAAATGAAGTTTAATTGGCTGGCTTCCTTTTAATCTCAGATTCTTCTCAAATGGGCATCAATCACATATTTTTGTTGTGTGTGTATGGTCTAATGAGTCTACAGTGTGGAAACACTGTAATAAAGAACATCCCTTTACTTTGTAGGCTTTATGACTTGGGCCTTGCTGGCCACGTTTCACCTTGACTTTCTGCTACAGTGTTTTAGGGAAAGCATCTGCTCCAGTGCTCCAGTCCCAAATAAGGGTATCCAGTGTGCTGGCGGCCCACAGCTTCTACCTATGCTTTCCATGGCCATCTATTTCTTTGGGGGGATTTAAAAAACAAAAAAAGTCTTGTTCCATTGACAAGGAACAAGATTGGCAAGATGTAATTTGTAGAGCTTGATTTATCCTCTAATTGAATTCTGAGACACTCAATTCATTACATCTCATCAATCTCCAAATCCAATGCTTTTTATGACACATAATGTCATGAGGTGAACAGGAACCTAGGATTGTGACTCTTAAAGTCAGTTCTATCATATCCCCGGTATTTCCAACGGTCTCAAGGCTGCCATGACATTGTTTACAAGATTTAAGCTGATTTGATCATATGGTTTGGAAGAAAGGTAATTCTTGTAATTAATTACTACATGGTGATTTATGACTAATGGCAAGACCTATTTTTGTACCCTACCAACATCTATTGTTCCTATTGAATATCTGCCTCTTCAAATGATTCAAAACAATAGTACCTAATTTATCATTCAAATAAATTTCTCTGCCTTAGTTTTCTTATTCCTAAACTATAGAAAAGAGTAATATTCTTAATGGTGTTTATTTACACACAGAGATGTGGGGAGCTAAAAATTATAGCTAATAAAGCACTTTGAATATAGTAGGTGATAATTATTATTATTTTATTTGGAAATGTAGTGTTTCCATTAAGGTACCCTGGGATCTTTGTGTTCTGGTGGTAATTATGTAATTAATTATAAAACAGTGAATAACACTTGATATTTCTAAAGTAAGTGTTGCCCTAGTTTTCTATGCCACACCTAAATTGAAGAAGGATATTTTATTTTCCACAATTCCTTTATAAAATAATATAATGCACTTAAAAATGTATGATTTTTTTCCCTAAGTTTTTCTTCTCATGCACTACAAAAGCTTTTAGGAGATTCATGACCAATTATGAAATTGGCAGTTTCTACTTATAGGTTCCTCTGATGTCTGACCATCCTAAAATAATCAGATACATAAAATGTCAAGGATAATAGATCTTTGTTTAGAGTCAATGACTATCTAACCTGCTCTTTATAAAGATCTACTGAAGTACAAAATCTCATGCCCAGTTTCATAACTCTTCAACAACATATACTTGCTCAATACTTCACTGGGCTATATCAATGGAGACAATAGCTTTAAAAGTCACAAGCTTATAAAAATATTATTTGGCATAAAATGGGGCACAGACCACTCCCACTCTTAAAAACATAACCCTTTATAATCCTTTCTAATTTTTTGCAGGCATCAAGGGCATACATATTTTGAATAATAAAACTCATAATTGTCCATGATGCATAGATTCTTACTGTAAAGCAGGTAGAGATCAGGTAGTTACTGAAATTTATTTTTATTAAAATAATTTTGTTTGATCTAGTTCCTTAGGTTCATTACCTACTTTAATAGCAAAATAATTATAGTGAGAAGAGCAGGTTTATTAATATCTTAAAAATAGCTGATACCAAATGAAGCATTTCATATAATATCTGAACCTTTCTTATTTCATAGGAACTCTTCATTAGCATCACCATAGTTTACACTTGTAATATAAAGAAAAAATGCATATCCATCCAAATTTCACTCTTCTGTCACTAAGAAACTATCTAACTTTGGTCTTCATGAAATTGATAGGACACGCTCTTGAGATTATGGGAATGTTCTGTAGATTAAATAAAAGAAAATATTATTAAATAGATGTTTCTTATGTACTGAGGTTGTGATTCTTAAGCAACTCGTTATGAATAAAAAGGGAGATGTTTCTGCTTCCTATAATGATAAGCTAAGTAACTGCAGACCAATTTTTCTATTGAGGAACAAATAGGAAAGCCTAATGCCTTTTCATCTCTTTTGTAAAATTCTATTATCTTTGCACAAACAAAAGAAACTCAAAGGAAATGCTCTATTTACTGTAGGGGGTTATCAAACAGGCTTCTATGGGTAATGGAACAGTCAACTGTGGGGTATTTTGTTTTACTGCTCATAGAGATGAGTGAAGTTTGCAAGTCTAGAGTCAGAGTGGAATTGCTCTGCAAAATGTGGCCAAGCTGAACCCAAAGCTGAGTGCTCTGCAGGAAACACTGGCCACCCACATAAAGGAGGAGCTATGGAGAAAAACAGTGGCAAAATTAGGATTTCAGGGGCATTTATTGGAAAGCATGCTAAGCAAATCTTTCCCCAGCCCCTTCTACAGAAATGTTAGCAAAGTCTACATTGCTTCTTAATTCTTAAGAGTAATTGTTGTTTGTTGGGGGCACTTTGGAAGGGAGAGTACAGATGACAATGAAAAGGTAGTTGACAATGGAGATAACCTAATATCCTACATGATAAAGTTTCCAAGTCTCTTAAATATACAGAATGCTGATTAATTATTAATGCTAACTACCTCTGACTAGTGGGAAATAATAGGATTTGGATTTTGAAGACGAGATTTAGTTTAGGCTCTTCATGAGAAATTTCTCATCAGAGGTTTGTAAAGTAGGACTATTCTATTAAACTAAACTGGAAAGCTCCTTCCTAGTGACATAGTGGAAAGACACCTCTTGAAAATGGGATGGGCAGAGGAGAGAGCTCAGGAGAGATGAATTTTAAAAAGGGTGAATCCTGCTGCACTTTCTATCAAATCATGAAATCAAAAGGTCTGTTTTAATATCTAGTCTCTGACTCATGTATTTATAAAAATCACTGCACTTGTCAAAGTGTCACAATTCGACACACACCCCATCACAATGCTCCCGAGGAAAGATGCCCTTCCTATTCTAAGTATTTTTTTCAGTTTTCCCTTTAAGGCAAGAAGACAGAGGTAATAGGAAATCCCTCTTCTGTGTTCCCACAGCGATCTGGGCCTCTCTCTGTACCAGCACTGGTCACTTCACATTCTAATTAGTTTTTTATCTCTATAGTCCTAATAAACTATGGGCATAGGAAGACTAAGGAAATTAGTCATCTTTGCATACCCTGCAGCTAGCAAGCACAGTTCATGGAATGTGGCAGTCTCCTCCTACCCCTCTTTATCTACTTATCAATATTTACAAATTGAGAAAACATTC